CAGTGAGGCTGTGTTATAGAGTGTGTTACAGTGAGGGGTGTGTTATAAAATATGTTACAGTGAGGGGTGTGTTATAGAGTGTGTTACAGTGGAGTGTATTATAGAGTTTGTTAGACTGAGGTGTGTGTTATAGAGTGTTGAATGTGGAGAGTAATGAGGAAAATAATGACAGGATAAAATAGATTTCTGAAAGAGAAACCAGGGGAGACATGTCACCAGGGGTGTGGGAGGGAGAGTTAAAGTGACACGTCCATCCTTGGCCTCGTCCATTGTCATCGTGAGGCCAAATGTAATCTAGAGGTACGAGACGTCATATTTCGCCTTGGAAGCTTATAGCTCAATGACCTGAATATTGAATTGCCCAGTTTCAAACTCTTTCCTCCCCCATCTTCTATCTTCTGATATCTATCTTCTATCTTCTGATTCACCTGTCTGCTACACATTTCCCGCTGCCCAACCATAATAACCCTACCTGCATCATCAGCTTCAAAGTCCCTCCACCCCAACCTGTTCATCTTGCCACTCACCTATCCATTCCACACTTCCACCGTCCAACCATAATAAACCCATACCTGCATCCACCTATCACCGTCTCAACTACCCTGCCCCCGGCCCCATGCCCCCTCCATTTATTTCTGAGTTGCCCTCCCCCTCCCCAGTCCTGATGAAGAGTTTCAGCCTGAAACATTGACACCCCTGCTCCTCGGTTACTGTCTGACCTGCTGCTCCACACTTATTGACTCTAGCTTATAGCATCTGCAGTTCTTTCTGTCTCCTGGCCTGCACATCTTTGGAATGTGGGAGGAAAAGAGAGCAACTGACAGAAACCCAAGCAGGCATGAGGAGAATGTGCAAACTCCACACAGAGAGTCACCAGAGGGTAGAACTGAACGGGCGGCATTGGTTCTGTGAGGCAGCAGTGCTAACCAATGAGTCACCCTGCTGCCCCATGATCATATTGAATAGTGAAACAGACTAAAAGGGCCAATTAACCTATTTGTGCTACTATTTTCTATGTTTCTATGGCATATAGAGAGAGCTACAGTCACAGTGTGTTGCACAGAGTATTATGATGCATGGTATAGAGAGAGAGTTACAGTGAGGGATGTATTATAGTTTTGAGCATTTGTGATGTAATGTCTTTGAGTTAGCCTGAATACTATTTGAATATGAATAACATTTATGTTAGAGTTTGAATGTGAGTGAGTGGCATGTAGAATTTGGGCTGTGTGTCTGAAGGAGCTAAATGATTAACTTGTGGGGGACAGTTAGCTCGGTTGCATGGTTTGTGATGCAGAGTGATGCCAACAGCACGGACTCAATTCCCACACCGGCTGACGTCTTCATGAAAGACTTGCCCTCTCAGCCTCTCCCCTTGCCTGAGGCATGGTGACCCTCAGGTTAAACCACCACCACTTGTTTCACTCTGGCACTCATGTTGTGGGAATATTACTTACTAATAGTGGTCCAAGCCTGAGCACGATCCAACTCTTTCTGCAAATGAATACAGCTTCAGTATCTGAAGAATTGTGAATGGTGCTGAACATTGTGAAAATATCAGTGAATATCCTCCATGTCAGAACACATGACGGAGGGAAGGTCATTGATGAAGCGGCGATGATGATTGGCCTGAGGACCTTATGCAGAGATGTCCTTAGCTGAGATGACCAGAATTAGTAAGAGGGGCATTGATTGGGACGGATTGCTGAGTGGGCTCTGTATGATTTGCTTCACTCTCAAAAGAGTCAAAACCTTCAGGAGAGGAGTGGGGTGAACTTTGAGCAGTGGGAAGAAATGATCCCTTCAGTCATTAAAAGATTACTAAAGTGCACTTCTTTTACTGATTGTCAATGTGTTTCTAATGCTTTGTTATTACAGGGGCAGCTGGATCGACAACTGCAAGGGGAGATCTCTATATCATTTCACCCTTGGTTGCTTCTGATGATGACGGAGAAAATCCTACTGGTCAAACCCACTCGCATCATAATATGGGACACTTTCAGTATCCAGTTGTGTGTTGTTGAAATGACTGGGAACATAACGAGAAACAGTCTCTGTCACGTCTTACAGAAATAAACACAAGTAAACATCAAAACACCAGTGTTTCATTCCTTTAAATAACCGCAAGATACATACTTACAAAAGGAATGTGGCAGCTTATACATTCAATTTCGAAGTGCATAATGATACATGCTACAAAATAAACACCTAAGAGAAACTATGAGAAGAAGGCACTGAGTTATGAACAGAGACTGCAAGATTGGGAGGGGAACTGCAGGATGTAAGGTGCACCCAGCCTCTACTGCCTCAGAAGGTGAAGGAAATATGGTACGTTCACAATGACTCTGACCAATTTTTATAGATGCACCATAGAAAGCATTGTATCCAGATTCATCACAGCTTGGAATGGCAACTGCTCTTCCCAAGCCCACAATAAACTTCAGAGAGATTTGAACACAGCCCAGTCCATCATGAAAACCAACCTTCCATCCACTAACTTCATCTTCACTTGCCATTGCCTCGGGAAAGCAGCCAACATAATCGAAGACACCCCACCCCCAACCCCCAACCTAGTTATACTCTCTTCCACCCTCTTCCATTGGGCAAAAGATACAAAACCTTGAAAACATGTACTGGCAGAATCAAGAACAGCTTCTTCCCAACTGTCATCAGACTTATGAATGTATCTCTCATATATTAGTGTTGATCTTTCTCTGCACCTTCTCTGTAGTTGTGACACTACATTCTGGATTCTGGTCTATTACCCTGATGGACTTATGTAAGGTATGTAGCACACAAAACAGTACTTTTCACTGTATCTCAGTACATGTGACAATAATAAATCAAACCTAATCAAATCTACAGTCCTCTACAGCAATGTATTCTCTCAAAGAATAAATTCATCTTCATCTCTGACCAAATGGATGACTCCTTTACTCTGAGCTTATGCCTTCTGATCTTAGGCTTTCCCATGAGATGAACCAAGCTCTCTGCATCTAGCCTGACAAGTCCCTTAAGAATATTGTATGTTCCAATAAAGTCATCTTTCATTCTTCTAAAGTCCAATATGTACAAGTCCAACCTATTCAAACGCTCCACATAAGATAATTCCTTCATACTCAGGATCAACTGACTGAAACTTCTTTGGACTGCTTCAAATGCCATTATCTTCCTTAGATAAGAGAGCCAAAAACATGCACAGTCTGACTAGTGCCTTGTCTCCACAAGGACTGTGTGGTCATCACTTTTACTGAAACTGTAGGTCAAATATCAGATCATATTTTAAACTGTAACAGAAGATATGAAAGTTTTGGTAATATTAGTAGAGCAATTGACAATTACTTTATATTATGAACCAATTGTATAATGGAAAGACTTACTTCATGCTACACCAAGCTATGGAGGCAGAGTCCTTGTGCATATTTAAGGCTGAGATAGATGGATTCTTGATTAGTCGGCAAATCAAGGGTTACGGGAAAAATGCAGGAACATGGACATGAGGAATGTCAGATCAGCCATGATCCTATTGAATGGTGGAGAAGGCTCGAGGGGCAGAACAGCCTACTCTTGTTTCTATTTCTTATGGTCCTATGGTTACAATTCAATGCAAGGTTATAGTTTCCAAGAGAACCTGTAGCCAACTCAATTTATTATCTCCATATGTTGCCAGCATTTTGTAATTTTGAATGACTGTGAACCTAAATGATTTGAGACTTTAGAAAGAGAATCGTAGAAAATAGGTGCAGGAGTAGGCCATTCGGCCCTTTGAGCCTGCACCACCGTTCAATATGATTATGGCTGATCATGCAATTTCAGTATCCCATTCCCTCTTTCTCTCCATTGATCCCTTTAACTGCAAGGGCCACGTCTAGCCCCCTCTTGAATTTATCAAATGAACTGGCCACAACAGCTTCCTGTGGGAGAAAATTCCACAGGTTCACAACTCTCTGAATGAGGAAATTCTTCCTCAACTCAGTCCTGAATGGCTTACCCCTTATTCTTAGACTGTGAGCCCTAGTTCTAGACTTCCCCGACATCAAGAACATTTTACCTACATCTAGCATCTAGGATTTTATATGTTTCTATGAGATGCTCCCTCATTCTTCTACATTCTAGCAAGTACAAGCCCAGTCGATCCAGTCTTCCCTCATATGTCAGTCCTGCCATCTCAGGAATCAGTCTGGTGAACCTTCACTGGACTCCCTCAATAGCCAGAATGTCTTTCCTCAGACTGGGAGACCAAAACTGCACACAATACTTGAGGTGTGGCCTCACTAAGACCCTGTGTAACTGCAACAAGACATCCTTATTCCAATACTCAAATCCTCTCGCTAGGAAGGCCAACATGCCATTAGCTTTCCTGACTGCCCACTGCACCTGCATGCCAGGCTTCAGCAACTGTTCCACATGATATCCAGTTCTCATTGCACTTCAACTTTTCCTAAACTACACCATTCGGATAATAATCTGCTTTCGTGTTTTTATGACCAAAGTGGATAATCTCACATTAATCCACGTTATTTTGCAGTTGCCAAGTATTTGCCCATTCAGCCATTCTGTCCAAGTCGACCTGCAGCGCCTTAGCATCCTCCTCACAGCACACACTGCCACCCAGCTTAGTGTCATCTGCGAATTTGGAGATATTGCATTCAATTCCTTCATCCAAATGGTTAATGTACATGGCGAACAGCTGGGGTCTCAGCACTGAACCCTTCAATACCCCACTCGACACTGATTGCCACTTTGAAAAGAATCCAATCATTCCAACTCTCTGCTTCCTGGCTGTCAACCAGTTCTCCATCCATTTCATACATTATCTTTGATACCACCAGCTTTAATTTTCCTTACTAATCTCTTGTCTGGGACCTTGTCAAAACCCTTTTGAAAGTCCAGATACACAACAGCTACCGACTCATCCTTGACCACCCTAATGGCTACGTCCTCAAAAAATTCCAGCAGATTTGTCAAGCATGATTTCCCTTTAGTGATTCCATGCTGACTAGAACCAATCCTGTCACTGCTTTCCAAATGCTCAGTTACTACATCCTTAGTGATTAACTTCAACATTTCCCTACCACCAATGGCAGGCTGACCGGCCTATATTTCCCCATTTTCTCTCTCCTTCCTTTTTAGAGAATGGGGTTACATTAGCTAACCTGCAGTCCATTGGAACTCTTCCAGAGTCTACAGAATGCTGAAAAATAATTACCAATGTGTTGCTATTTCTAGTGCCACTTTCTTAAGTACACCGGGTTCAGAGTATCAGGCTCTGGGGATTTATTGGGATTTAATCCCATCAATTTCCACAATACTATTTCCTGACTAATAAGGATTTCCTTCAGTTCCCCCTTTATGCTTCACCCTCTGTCTCCTTGCATTTCCTGAAGATTATTTATGTCATTCTTAGTGAAGACAGATCCAAAGTATTTGTCTAACTGGTCTGCCATCTCTTTGTTGCCCATTATGAATTCTCCTGATTCTAATTGCAAGGGAACTACATTTGTCTTCCCTGGTCATTTTGTCTTCACATATCCAGAGAAGAATTTGCAGTCAGTTTTTATGTTTTCCGCAAGCCTACTTTCATATTCTATTTTCCCCTTCTGAATTAAACCCTTTGCTCTCCTCTGCTGAAATTTAAATTTCTCCCAGTCCTCAGGTTTGTTGCTTTTTGGACAAGAGAACATCTGACAGAGAACTGGATGGCACAGGCAGAATGCAACTCAAAATTAAAGGAATGCTGACAAAGGCTTAATATTTAGATAACAATACCATATGGAGAAAGCAACATTCCTCACTTCTGAGAAGATAAGTAAGCTTCGATCTGAAAATTCTCCAGTATGTTATGTCACTTTACAGATTATGGCTACTCACCAGATAGATAACAGACAACAACAGGAGGACACAGTGTGACCTAACACACTTACCACAGTTCCCTACATCAGGAACATATTGGAACTGACAACAAGACTCCCAAGACCACTAGGAATCATGGTGGCCCACAAGCCCACAGCCACTCTATGACAAACACTTACAAGGATTAAAGACCCCATTCCCGCAACATGCAGAACCAACATGGTTTACAAAATACCATGCAACAACTGCCACAAACATTACATCGGACAGTCAGGAAGGAAACTAGCCATCAGAATACACAAGCATCAGCTAGCAGCAAGAGAGCACGATGAACTCTGTTTAATATCTGTACATTCAGACAATGATGGCCATCAGTTTAACTGGGACAAAGTAACCATAGTAGCCCAAGCCAAACATAGACATGCACAGGAATTCCTAGAGGCATGGTTCTCCGCCTATACTTCAATCAACAAACATAAAGAATTGGACCCCATATACAAATCCTTACAGATCAAAACCGGAAATGACAGTACTCACCATAACAGACTGGACAGTATAATTTCCAAGCGGAGTAGAATAACATCGCTTCATCGGTGGCTCCACTGATGATGTCACCTAGCATGGTGACAAAACGTCTGAACAAAAACAAGCCAGCTCGGTGAGCAATTCAACAACCTGATCCACAACCAGAGCTACAGATCTTTGCCAAAACTATCAAATCACTGTCAGAAATAAATGAGTGAAGTCAATCCGACAGCTTCTGTGCCCTCCCTTTGCATTGTATCATAGTCTGCCATTCAGGATCCTTGTGCTAATCTGGTAAACGTAGTGTACCTTTATTTATTTCCCAGCTTTGAGGTTAACTAACTTTGTGGAACAGATAACCAGAGGCGTGATTCTGTATAAAGGAGAAGCCATTAACGAGATTCAGACACAGACACATCTCCCACTGACAGGATGAAGATACTTGTTGTTCTCAGTGTCCTGCTCACTGTCTCCAGCGCCAAAATCCTTACACGATGTGAATTTGCTCGTATTGTAAAGAATTCCATCCTGTCAAATTTCACTTCCCAAAATATGAATGACTGTGAGTAACGCCTTCCGTGTTCTATTAAAGCTGTGCTGAATGCCCTTACAGATTGGGACAGTTATTTGCGCCTGTAGTTCTGTCAGTCAGTGTGTAGTTGATGGGGACAGGGACTGTCTGAGTCTGGTCTGGACTGAGTAAGTTGCTCTTTAGTTTAAACGCTGTAAGGGCAGCAATAGGCTGGATGTTGGGCGGTTCTTTTTGCAGAGATTAATGAGCCGTTGCGTTACATTGTTGGCTGGCACATTGGCTGCTGACTCTTCCATCTCCAACACGGAGCTGGTTGGTTCCTGACTGGGGCAGAGACCACCTTCTTCAGAAGGGCATTCTCATTGGAGATAACACATGGTCCCTGTGATCTCACGTGGCCCAGTTGGCTAGTTTGCAATGCAGAGTGATGGCAACAGCATGAGTTCAATTCCTGCACTGGCTGAGGTTACTATGATGCTCCCACTTTCTCAACCTCACCCTTGCCTGAGGTGTGGTGACTCTCCAGGTCAAATTACCAATGGCTGTCTCTCTCTATCTCTGATAAGAACTGCAATGTGGAGATGTCGGTGTTGGACTAGAATGGACAAAGTCATATATCATAGGACAACAGATTATAATCCAACAGATTGATTTGAAATGATAGGCTTTTGGAGCACTGCTCCTTCCTCAGGTGAATGTCAGCGCTTTGAAAGCCTATGATTTCAAATATATGTGTTGGAGTATAACCCTTGTTGTGTAACTTTTGCCTTCCCCTAATGAGAGAAAAGCCCTTTATTCCTGTGGTGTCTTTAGGACCATAAGAAATAGGACCAGAAGTAGGACATTGGACTCCGTGAGCCTACTCCGCCATTCAATAGGATTATGTCTGGCCCCTGAAATTCCTTAGATCCACTTTCCTGCCCTTTCCTGTGACACGTGATTCCCCAACTGATCAAGAATCTATCTCAGCTTTAAATATACACAAGGACTCTGTCCCTACAGCTCTCTCTGAAAAGGATTTCCAAAGACTCTCATCTCTGTAAGAGAAGAAATTCCTTCTCTTCTCAGTCTTAAATTGGTGCCCTCTGATCCTAGACTCTCCCATGAGGGGAAACACCCTCTCAGCATTGACCCTGTCAATACCCGTATGAATCAAATATGTTTCAATGAGATCACCTCCCATCCTTCTAAACTCCAATGAGTAGAGTCCCTACTTTTTAACTTTTGCTTGTAAGAGAATCCCTCCACACTGGGGATGGCCTCCTCAATTTGGTATCCATCAGCTGAGGGGACCCAGAAGGGTTCTTTCTGAGTATTGTTCCCCTCATTGTCTCTGGCTGACCATCTCTCCACAGAGAAGCCTGTGGTGGTCATGGCTGAGATGGGGGATGGTGCTTGGGGTGGGGTGCAAGGGAAGACCTGACTATTGGTGTGATTTCTCCATGTGGGGGTTTTAATGGCTTCTCCTTCTGAATTGAAAGCACCTACTGCAGAGGTCACATGATTATGGCAAGCCACTACATCTATTGGCCTCACAATGTGCGTAAGCAATGTGTATCAATTACAAGGCACACTAGAAATTCATCAAAACTATTCAACAAGGCAACTCACCACCACCTTTTCAAGGACAACTAGGAACGGGGCACGCATATCCCATGAGTGAATTGCGAAAGGAGAATGGGTTGAGTCACTTTGATCTCAGAGTCGGCAAGACAACAGATCTCCTTCTATGAAGGATATTTGTGAACCAGATGGCAATTTTATGTCATTTTACATTCATCATTATTGACTATTTTGACTGTATGGTTCAGTAATCATGCTGGCACTTGCACGCGTACCCCTAGATCACTAGTCCCCGTCTCTATACTCTTAACCTAGTAACATGGTCACTATGCTATTGCACACAAGGTTAGGGATTTTAGAAGCAAATCCCAGCCTGGAGAGTGGTGAGAATGTTGAGTTAACTATTTTAAGGAGTAGCTGAGTTGAATCATGGAAATATTTTTAAGTGTGAAGACAAGGAGGCTTGAGTGGAACATAAATTTCAGAAATGACTCGTTGGTATGAATAGGCTGTCTCTGTGCTTATATGCTGTGCAACTTCTTGGAACATTCCATGTCCAATATATATCGTCCAATAATCATGGTCTAGTTATCTTGAAAGGAGACAGATTCTGATCACTGAGCTGGTTATTTTCTGCTCATTCACTTTATATGGTCACATGTATATGGTCAGCCAAGCTGACAGAGAGGCAAGATACACGCTAAGAAAATTAAACAGTTACACTTAAAGACAAATTTTACAGTGAAATGTAACCCCTGACTGGTGAGATGCTGTGTGAACCACAGTTGTGTTTACTTTGTGTCCTAATTCAAAACATCTTGTGTTCCTCTTAATTCCAGGGATGTGCTTGGCCTTCTATGAGAGTCAATATGACACACTGGCACTTCGCTACAATCAGCCAAGTGATGGAAAAATTGGTTCAGAAAATTTTGGGATCTTTCAGATCAACAGCAGTTGGTGGTGTGATAGCTGGAGGTTCGCAAATAGTCCAAATTATTGTCACATAAGCTGTAACGGTAGGTGAACCAAAACTCAACGAAAGTGTCAAGCTTACATTTTCATTCCTTTTCATGCTGTGAGGACTGTTATGAAATAGGTTTAACAACAGTGAAGAGGGGTCCCAAAAACCTTTCAAAACCGTGAGACTACAACCATCATAGATATAACCTGGAACAGAGAATCTAACCATCACCACTTGACATGCAGTGGCATTACCATCACTGAATCTCTCACTGTCAACATTCTAGGGGCTACCACTGACCTGAAACTCAACCAGGCAGGGACATAAATACAGTGGCTACGAGAGCGAATCAAAGGCTAACAATTCTGCAGTGATTTACTCACCTTCTGACTCCTCAAAACCTGTCTACCATCTACAATGCACAAATCAGGAGTGTGATGGAGTATTCCCCACTTGTCTGGATGGGTGCAGTCCCAAAAATACTCAAGAAGCTTGATATCATCCAGGACAAATCAGCTCATTTGTTTGGCATCACATCCACATCATTCATTCTGACCACCACCGACACTCAGTAGCAGCAGTGTGCACCATCTACAAGGTACACTGCAGAAATTCAACAAAGCTTTTTGAGAAAGCAGCTCACCATCACATCTCCAGGAAAAGTAGAAATAAGCAATAAATACTGGCCCAAACAATGACACCCACATCCCATGAGTTAGTTAAAAAAAGACAATGAGATAATTCACTTTGATTTCAGACTGGGCAAAGACTTGCTTTCTCTGAAGGAAATTAGTGAACCAGTGGGTTTGCTGTCATTTTACAGTCACCATTATTGGCTATTTGAATTAATAGGATTGAGTGATCATGGTGGCACTTGAACCCATAACCCTGGATCATTTAGTCCCAGTCTTTAAACTGCTAGCCCAGTCATATGGCTTCAATACTACTGGCCATTAAGTAAAGGAATTCAGAAGCAAATCCCTACCTGGAGAGAAGTGACAATTTTAAACTAATGATTGCAAAGAATAGTTGAGTTGATTCATACAGCTGTATTTAAATGGGAAGACAATCGAAGTTACACTGGGAGAGTTAGATGAAGGCAGCTGGGGGAAGTGGAGCATAAACCTCAGAATAGACTTGTTGGGATGAATGGCCTGTCTCTGTGCTTATATTCTGTGCAATTCCTTGTCATGTTCCATTATCCAATGGTGGACCCATTCTGGAAGGACATGACAGTCTCCCACCTTGTGATTGTGACACATAGAAGCTTGACCCCATTGTTAATTTTCTCCAGATTGGAAGATGGAAGGCCCACTCCAGGACTTGAGGGAGTGCTGCACTGTCAGAGAAACTGTCCTTAGAATGACCTGGTTCAGGAGGATGGTACAGTTTCCATGTTACCATTTGGTACAGAGTGACATTTTCACCTCAGCTAATAGGAAAAGAATGGGCGATGGTCAAGAGGGAAGATTATTTGACCCCTTGTCCAATAAACTTTAACCATTGATTTGAACAGATAAAGGAATCTCTCACTCGGTGTAAGATGTGCTGCAGGATCAGAATGACCCGGATTGTGCCGTTTAATAAAAGTGAGAATGAGCCTGTCTTGGTGTCCTGGCCAGCATTCTTTACCCCAAACCTCCCCTCACCCTCCGACCCAATGGGAATAGGCAAGTTCACTGTCCATCCATCTCATTGGTGATTGTGGAACCTTGTTGAGTAGGAAAGGCCTGACATTTTCTACAGATGTTCATGTTGTCTCCACTCACTGCTAACTGCTAAATTTAGACACTCATTACACCACAGCACACCATCTAGAACAGCAAACACCGTCCATTCTAGGGATTTATACTCCTGCCGCACAAAACAGCATTGAAAGAATCCAGTAACATCAACCCAAGGGACATCTCTACATGGAATTTTATAAGTTTTTATTAAAAGACTACTCAGATATAAATATTGATTCTATTAACATCTTTATTTTATTGCTGCAGATTTAATATATGATAGTGAAGATTTAGTATCCAATATTGGTTGCGCTGCAGTTGTGGCGAATAACCAAGGAATGAAAGCCTGGTACGGTGAGGTCTGAACCTTTATTTTCTCACTTTGTATTTACCAACTGAGACTGTAATCCTGTACTCAAGTCATAAAGGTTTTAAATATTTTGTGGGCACGTTTCTCGTTTGTTTATAATCAGATATTTCAAGGATCAGTAACAAGTGTGTTCTAGAAAATCATTAAAGGCTGGGTTTCTTGTGGACTGTTACAGTCTACACTGTGTTATAGTGTGTTACAGTGAGGTGTGTGTTATACAGTATGTTACAGTAAGGCATGAGTTATAGAGTGTTACATTGAGGGTATGTTATAGTAAGGCGTGTGTTATAGTGTGTTTCAGTGATGGTGCGTTATAGTGTGTTACAGTGAGGGGTGTGTTATAGAGTTTTACAGTGAGGGGTGCGTTATTGAGCGTTACAGTGAGGCGTGTGTTATAGTGTGTTTCAGTGAGGGTTCGTTATAGTGTGTTACAGTGAGGCGTGTATTAAAGAGTGCTACAGTGAGGGATGCATTATAAAGCATTACAGTGAGGTGTGTGTTATAGAGTATGTTACATAGAGGGGTGTGTTTCACAGCGTTTCAGTGTACGGTATGTTGGAGAGTGTTAAAGTGAGAGGTGCATGATACGATATTACAGTGAGGTCTGTGTTATGGAGTGTGTTACAGTGAGGGATGTGTTACAGAGTTTTACAGTGTGGGGTGCATTATGGAGCGTTACAGTGAGGAGTGTGTTATAGAGTGTTACAATGAGGCGTGTGTTAAAGAGTGTTACAGTGAGGGGTGCATTATAGAGTGTTACAGTGCAGGGTGAGTTGTAGTGTGTTATAATGAGGGATGTGTTATAGAGTGTATTATAATGAGGGGTGTGTTATAGAACATGTTACAGTGAGGTCTGTGTTATAGAGAGTATTACAGTGAGGGTTGTGTTATTGAGAGTGTTACAGTGAGGCATGTGTTATAGAATGGTACGGTGAGGGGTGTGTTATAGAATATTTTACCATGAGGGTTGTGTTGTGCAATGTTTTACAGTGAGGGTGTGTTATAGAGTTTGTTAGAGTGAGGAGCATGTTATAGAGTGTTATAGTGAGGGCTGTGTGTTATAAAATGTTACAGTGAGGGGTGTGTTACAGAGTGTGCAACAGTGAGGGTGTGTTAAAATGTGTCACAGTGATGGATGTGTTGTAGATTATGTTGCAGTGAGTGGTGTGTTACACAACGTTACAGTGTAGGGAATGTTAGAGAGTGTTACAGTGAGGCGTGTGTTATAGAGTCTTACAGTGGGTGTTTTGTACAGTGTTACAGTGAGGTGTGCGTTCTAGAGTGAGGGGTGTATGGTAGGGTATGTTACATTGAGGGTGTGTTGTAGAGTGTTACAGCAAGGATATGTTATAGTATGTTACAATGAGGGGAGTGTTTTAAAGTTGCAGTGATGGGTGTGTTGTAGATGATGTTACTGTGAGGGGTGTGTTACATAGCGTTACAGTGCAGGGTATGTTACAGAGTGTTACAGTGAGGGATATGTTGTAGTGTGTTACAGTGAGGTGTGTGTTTTGAGTGTTATCACGAGGGTGTGTGTTATAGAGTGTTGCAGTGAGTGGTGTATTATAGGGTGTGTTAAAGTGAAGGGTCTGTTTTAGAGTGTTGCAGTGAGAGTGTGTTATAGAGCGTGTTAAAGTGAGGAGTGTTTTGTCAAGTATGTTACAGTGAGGGGAGTGTTACAGTGCAGGGTATGTTAGACAGTGTTACAGTGAGGGGTCTGTAATAGAGTGCTAAAGTCAGGGGTGTGTTAATAGAGAGTGTTATAGTGACGGATGTTTTTTGGAATGAAAGAGGGGTGTATGAAAGAGGGTTAAAGTGAGGTGTATGTTACAGAGAGTGTTACAGTGATGGGTGCGCTGTAGCATGTGTTACAGTGAAGGTTGTGCAATAGAGTGTGTTACAGTGAAGATTGTGGTAAAGAGCGTTACATTGGGGCTGTGTTATACAGTGTTACAGCGAGGGCTGCTCTATAGAGTGTGTCACAGTGAGCGTGTGTGTTATAGAATGTTACATTGTTGGTGTGTTATAGATTGTTACGATGATGGTGTGTTATAGAGTGTTACAGTGAGTGGTGTGTTATAGAGTGTTATAGTGAGTGTGTGTTATACATAATGTTACAGTGAGGGTGTGTTGCATTAGAGTCTTACAGTGAGGGGTGTGTTATAGTGTTGCTGTGAGGGTTGCTCTAAAGAGTGTTTTACAGTGAAAATTGTGGTATAGAGTGTGTTACTGTGAGGGATGTGT